TGTGAAGTAGTTCAAGGACAGTTATTATATTCCTTTACTAAAGGTAAAGTAACTGGACATCATTTTCAAGGTCAGGAAACATGTTCAATAGGAAAAAAATGTGATTTCTAAGTTATAAAACATCTTAAGAGGAGGCTGCACTATCAAGTATTTTGGACCAATTCTAGTCTTGAAGTATGTATTTCTCTCCTTATTAGATAATTAAGTACAAATCTTATCCTTATTTAGTAATTACAACATCACATTTTTTTTTTTGCATATTTTACCGGTTAAGATTGACAACATCTTAAAGAATCACTCAGCCCAATGGCTGTGCATAATGAATACTAACTAAATAATTAAACTCTTATTATTCCTAATAGTCCTTTAGATAGGGTGGTGAAAGGTGAATGAGATAAAGAGTGTTCTGTCCCGTATCATGCCATAGGTGGAAGAACTGGGATCTCCAAACTTGTGCATTCATCACAGAGAGTGAGTTACAGTTGCACAGAGCTTCCCACAGAAACTAGTTTTTTGAAGCAACGCTTTCTTATAATATTAAACCCCCAAATATAATTGATTCAGCTTCTCCTTAATTCATTCAATATTTGATAGCATTAGAAGAAATAGAAATGTGCCAGAGAGGTTAAGTTATAGTCTACTCTGAATGAAATCTTCTGGAGTATTGAAAATAAAGTCTTTTACGAAGGATTGGGAAAGGTGATTTGTTCTTGCCTAGAATAATGATTTTATATATAGATGTCTGCTGTTCTCCTTATAGTCTTGAAATCTGTGGAAGCCACAACTCAAAATGACTCATCAAATGCCATGGTGACAGTGAGCAGAAATATTTTGAAAGATATTACCTGAGGGGTTTTGCTCTGAGCCCAATTATAAGCAGACAGGCTTGGTCTGTGCCTTCCCAATGTATTATATGAATTGATGGCAGCACAGGGTGTAAAATACCAGCTAATTTGGTAGTACAGAGAGTCTACTAATTATAAAACAGTAAGTACTGAAGAAATGCTTGTATGAAAGTAAAGTTATCTCAATTATCTGAAAATTCATGATGTATTTTTTGTGGATTAAGATAATTTTAATGCCATGATTTTATAGTTTTATTAAATATTGAACATATTCCTATAGCACTTGATTCAGTCAGTTCAGTTAAATTCATTTAAGGAATACAAATTTATGTAAAACAAATAGAGAATTTAAGCATATTTGAAAATCAAGCACAGATAATTTCCTCATTATTTTTTGAAAAGTGTATCTACATTCATTAGTGTGAATAATAAAGACCAGTTGTTCATGTGGATATTTTTACTTATTCTGAGCTATTGTAGATTCTCAAAAACCTTTCACCTCTTTGTTATGGGGCTGAATTCCTTTTTCAGATGTCTCAATACAAGAGCAGTTTAAATAATGGGACGGATTTTTCTAGTTGGGGAGACGGCTGCCTGCATAGCTCATTTTTAAGTTCCAAGTCATTTCTCAAACTTGGGCCAACTACCCATTCTCTGTTTTCTCCTTATCTAAATTCTGGGGACTCTATTCTTTTCCCTTCCAGTCCTGCTATCACTCTGTAGTTACCTTGGGATTCCTCTCTCTTAACTAATGGTGAAATGAGACTAGATGCTTCTATCTTTTCCCTAACTCAGGGATCTTATAGGTACAACGCCTCCAAAATTCCCAGAGAGTTCCTCCAGGCTACAGTCTTCCTTACCACTTGCTGAATTTTCTACTTGTCCAGATCAAGCTGACTGATTGGATTTATAATGAAAGCTTAAAGGTAAGATTGTTGTTGGTGTCTGTTTGCTAAGTTGTGTCCCACTCTTGCAACCCTGTGGACTGTAGCCCGCCTTGCTCCTCTGTCCATGGGATTTCCCAGGCAAGAATACTGGAGTGGGTTGTTATTTCCTTCTCCAGGGGATCTTCCCAACCCAGGGATAGAACCGGCATTTATTATGACTAACTTGCATCGCCTGGCAGATTGGTTACCACTAGCACTGCCTGGGAAGCCCAGGAGGAAGACGAAAGTGAAAGTGAAGTTGCTTAGTCCTGTCCGACTCTTTCCGACCCCACGGACAGTAGCCTACCAGGCTTCTCCGTCCATGGGATTTTAGGGCCCCTTTAAAAAGGTGAATTCTTCACGGAGATCATTTGTATCTTTGGATGAACCATTACACCAGTGCTTGCCCTTTGATTTCATGGGATGGACATATAGAAAATACTGGCATCTTTTTGGCATATACACATGCATGCTCAGTGGTGTCCAAGTTTGCAACCCATGGGACAATAGACCACCAGGCTCCTCTGTCCATGGAATTTTGCAGGCAAGAATGCTGGAGTCGGTACCCATTTCCTATTCCAGGAGTCTACTTGACCCAGGGATTGAACCCATGTCTCTGGTGTCTCTTGCATTGGCAGGCAGATTCTTTTCCACTGGGCCACCTGGGAAGCCCTTGGTATCAGAGAAAACTGTGGTTATCCATGTCTAGAAGTAGTGGGTGTCCTAGGCCCTGCCCTGCTACTTTGAAGGAATAAACTACTTGAGCAGAGCTGCTATCTCTTTCCTTACCTACAGCTGGGAAGCTGTACTTTAGACAAAAGGGTTACCTTTCTCTGGGTACTTCCTTGGCACTTTTTTTCTCTGGACTATAGGAATTCAGACAGTGTTGCTACTGGTTCATGTCATTCTTCTACAATTTCCATGCTATCTCCCTAGCAGATAGAATTGGAGCAGTAAGAGTTTCATTTCTCCTACTGAGATATTCTCAACTACTAAGGCACATTTGTGTAAACATCAACACACCACCACGGAAGCCAGGCTTTTAGACAAGACTTAGTTTCTGTTCTGAATTCAACAGGTTTTCCAAATTGATGTGTTCGCACTATGTCCAAGTTTACCAGTGTATTTTTGTCAACGCTGAGGGTAGTGAAAGACAATTCCTGAAAGAAACTACTATTTGCAGAATTACAAAACATCTTACTTTTATTCTGAGGATGGCTTGAGTCTCTTCATCCTTTAGGTCTCAGGTTAAATATAACCAAGGGGACTTCGCATCACAACCAGTCTCTCAGTCTCTCTCAGTCTCCAGTTTGCTTGTCTTCCTAAGTACTTTACATATGTACATATTTGTTTGTCTCTGGTCTCTGAGCCCTATCCGAGTTAAGTTCCTTGAGAACACATACTCGTCCATCTTGTTCACAGCTGTATCTCAGGCGCCTAGCATAAAGCCTAGCACATAAAAAGGACCCAAATTTGCTGAATGAGTGAAACTCATGGCTTTTTTTGTGAAGAGCATTTATTTGAAACATATTTTAAAATAAGGAAATTTTCCCTCCCCCCCCCCCCCCGGCTTATTTTATATATAAACCGAGGGATTGATTTTTGAGCCTCATTAATGTTGGGTGACATTTTTATATAAACTTTTCCTTCGTGTTACATGCAAGTCTAATTTTACTGTGTATTAATAAACCCTGCGCCAACATATTACGGACCTTTGCCCATGTCCCTTCCACAATTTGAAAACTTTTGGCTTTTCCCCTCACACTGATTAGCTTGGGCCTAATGTACAAGCCACTAAATACGTAATTGCGAAAGAAAAGCGCGAGGGTGCCCTATTTCAAAACCTAATTCAAGATGCAAGTCAGATGAAACCGACCCACGTTTCCGCCAAGGGTTTATCCTAAGAGACGAACCCTGGCCGCTCCAGCCAAGCTGGCCGACTGCCCCTGAAGTACAGGACACAGCCTTCGTTTCCCGATTTTGGGTCGCGCTTTACTTTCTAATTGTTCGGCAGTGCTGTGTATGCGCACGAGACCGTGGGCTCGGAGGTGCGCACTTCGGGGGCGTAGCCGAGCCATTCAAACCAGCGAATCGGCGCTCCCCTCGTCCGGCCACCTCTGCCGCGTCTTGGCAGATGCTCCACGGGTGCGCACGAAACTCCCGGGTCCTGACTTTCCTCCTCCCCTGGCCGGGTACCCGCAGAGCTCGGGGCGGCCACTTCTACCCAGGAGGGGGTGAGGAGGAAGTTGGCAAAACTGCTCGAGCTCTAGAGCGGAGCGCCGAAACGCCGCCGAGGGACACCCGGGCGCGCGGAGAGGGAGGCAAGCGGCCCCGCGCGAAGGGGGCGGGCCGGCTCGGGCGCTCGCATTTCCTGTGACAGGGGCTGCCCTACCGCTCCCTCTCCCGCGGGCGGCGGGACCATTTCCTGAATCGCTGAAGCGGAGGGAGGGCTGGGGCGCGGCCCTACCACGAGCGCAGAGGGCCGGGGGTGGCGAGGAAGGACAGGCGGAGGAACCGGAGGGCGACCGAGAACAGGGACGTTCTGCCGGGGCCGCGGCTCCCAGGTACCGCGCAGAATCCGGACTAGTTCAGGCCAGAGCTCCTCCCGCAGGCGGGGCCGGCCGGCTGCCCGTCGGACGCCGGAGCATCCCCCCTCCCCCGAGCCCGACGTGGTTCGGCCCGAGAGGCCGGCGTCTCTCCCCCAGTTTGCCGTTCACCCGGAGCGCTCGGGACTTGCCCGTAGTGGTGACGGCGGCAACATGTCCGTGGCGTTCGCGGCCCCGAGGCAGCGCGGCAAGGGGGAGATTACTCCCGCCGCGATTCAGAAGGTGAAGCCGCGCGGCGTCGGGGATGCCAGGCCTGGCCCGCGTTGAGGAGGAACCCGGGAGTCGGGCTCGGGCCGGGCTTGTCGGCCGTGCCGGGGGCGGAGGCGGGCCTGCTGGGCGGGCGGCTGTGGGAACCCGAGCCGCGGGGCTGCGCCCTAGTGGGTGGCGGAAGGGGGCGACCTGCTCCCCTCGCGGAGTCCTGCGCGCCCCCTCGGGTCTTTCCTACGGGCCCAAAAGCCCGAGTAACCGCCGCCCGATTTCTCTGGGGATGGGGCGGCGTTCGCGCGGCGGGGCGCACGGCCGCGCGGGGCAGGGTTGTTTTCCGAGGCCCGCGCCCCCCGCGGCCCGCGCGTAGCTCCGGAGTTACTTTGGCGTTGCCCCGCCCCGCGCGGTGCGGCGGCCGCTCCGGGTCGACCCCACCTCGGGGCCCGGGGGTGGGCCTAGGAGAAGTAGGAGCGCTGCTCGCTCTTGGCGCTCGGCTGCAAACTCCGGCCGAGTTGGGGAGCTCTCAGCAGAACTTGGGGGATGCTGCGGGGTACCTCGTCCGAGGCGGACGAGGGAGCACCCTCCAGACTTCAGGGATCTCTCGGAGCCCCTTCTCCCCTCCGGATCTACCTCCGGCCCATTTACAGCTGCAGCGCCAAGCGTAGGCGCCGAGGCTGCGGTGGTGAGCATGGTCCCTGCCTGCCTTCAGGGAGCTTAGGGTCGAGTGGTGGAGACAGTCTGAGCCTCGTGATCAGTTTCAGAAGACGTGATACACACGCGGGGAGCTGCGCTGTGGCCGCGATTACTTGCCAGTTGCGAACACAAAGGTTTCTTTATTGTTTTCTGTCCCTTGTTGTCTTTGAGCACGGCAGCATTCTGAATTTTAGTGAACCAGAGTTTGAAAAGTTAACTTGCTAAATTTTGCAATTTACCCTAAATAGTTCTGTTTCGTTTTATGCACCGGAACAAAGATGAAAATGGAAAAAAGTCAACTTTTAAAACCACTCAAGAAAAAAAAAAAAAAACCACTCAAGACACCATCGTATGCCTAGTAGTTTTTGTTAATAGGCTTCTGTTGACTCTCAGGCTCTTTACAGTGTGGCGTTTGACATTTGCCCAGCTGTTGCTTTTTTTATGAAGAGACAGGCTTGGCGTTGCCTGAAAATGCAGTACTTTTTGTGTAGCGTGCTGGGCGAAGTCTGCTGCCTGGCAAACAGCTGTGAGTACGCGTACACAAAACGTGTTTCTGGAAGGCTTCACTTTTTGGACTGTAAAAAAGTTCTGAGTTTGTGCTTCTTATAAAGAGTTCTTACCTACATCTTAAGATAATTTATCGTGGATGACTAACTCAAGAGATGCTGATCAGTTAAAGTGTTCATCCTCAGCTCAGGAGAGAAAAAGGATCCACATTAAGTGCCTGATTGTATAGTGTGAGGGAATGACGTTAAGGTACGAGACAAACCCAGACGTTCTAATGGTGAAGATTGTTAAGCCGTGGAATCTACTGAGAAGATAGGTTGTGAAATCGTTAGGTTGGACATTGTATTAAAACACATTCTAAAGACAAATTTTTTGGCATCTGATGAGTATATATAAGAAGAAAACTGCATTTGTTTTTTTTGAAAGGCGTATTAATATTTTTTTCCACCTAGTGAAGACTGATTCATATGCAGAGAAGAAGTGACACTTTTAAATGGATCTTCATGTTTAATTAAAAGAATTACTTTAATTAGTGAGAAAGAGTGGTTATGGTATTAAACTTAAAGCTTTCCTGAAATCCTGGAAGGGTGGGGACAGTTTGAAGAGGAACATCTACTCCTGTCCCTTAATAAATCTGAGCCTCTGACATCCTGAGTGGTTTGCTCAGGATAGCAAAACTGACAGTAAAACTGACTTTTTAATTGCTACGTCAGTGCTTTTTCCTCAGTACCACTCTGCTTAGGTGAATTATTTAATCCTTAAAGCCAATTTTGCTTTGAAAAGTTTTCATAGTATGATAAATATATGATTGTTTTTAAACTTTGGGGACAATTATAAGGTTGGCTCATAGGGTCTGTGGTTAATATTACAGTACTTACCTAGAAATTACTGGAATTAATGATTGCATATTTGGAAAATCACAAAACCATGCTGCATAAAACTTGGAAAAGACCCTGATGCTGGGAAAGATTGAGGGCAGCAGGAGAACGAGGTGACAGAGGAAGAGATGGTTGGCTAGTATCATGGACTCAATGGGCACAAGTTTGAGCAGGCTCTGGGAGAGGGTGAAGGACAGGGAACCTTGGTGTGCTGCAGTCCATGGGGTCTCAAAGAGTCAGACATGACTTAGTGACTGAACAACAACATAAAACTGGGAAGCTAGCCAGCTATCTCCTCAAGCCTCCTGTGCTGAAGTTTTCATCAGTTTACTTCATTCTGGATTAGGACAGATTAGCTTCCACTGCAGGGGGCACAGGTTCAATCCCTGATTGGGAACTAAGATCCCACAAGCTGGGCGGCAGTGGTTGAAAAAAAAAATTAAAAATTGTTGATTAAACATAACATCCGAAAGATATAAAATAAGATCTTTTGTGCAGAGCTATATTGTAGGTATAAAAAAGACCTGTGGATTCAGTTCCTGAATAGATAAACTTTTCTAGAAATCTGAATTTTTTATTTTACTTGATGCATGAGATTTACAATAAACTTTTTTTACTTTTATTTCAGATGCTGGATGAAAATAACCATCTAATTCAGTGTATAATGGACTATCAGAATAAAGGAAAGACCTCAGAGTGTTCTCAGTAAGATTGATATGAAAGTTGTTTTTTGGTATTTCTTTTTCTGTATTGGTTAGTTTTTTACTTTTCTTTCTTTTTAAAAATAGCTTTATTGAGATATAATTCACATACCATATAATTTACCTGTTTTAAAGTGTACAATTCAGTGGGTTTTAGTATATTCATAGAGTTGTACTACTATCGCTTTGATCAATTTTAGAACATTTTCAACAGTCCAGAAAGAAACCCTATCATTAGCATTCACTCCCCATTCTCACCTTCTAATCCCACACCCGCTAATAACCACTAATTTGCTTTCTGTCTGTGTATATTTGCTTATTGTGGACACTTCATACAAATGAATTCACTCAGTACGTGATCTTTTTTGACTGCTTTCTTTTAGCATTGTGTTTTCAGGGTTCATCCATGTTGAAGCTTATATCAATATTTCCTTCCTTTTTATTGCTAAATAATCTTCCATGGCTGTACCACATTTTATTTATCTATCAGTGATGAACATTTGGATTGTTTCCTGGTCTTGACTATGATGAGTGATGCTGTGCACACTCGTGTGCAATTTTTTGTGTGACTTGATTTTTGTAAAAGAAAAATTTGTTACTTGGGCTGGAGGATATATCTGTTTTTTCCTTACACCACTTATCCTCTGTTATAAATGACTTCAAATTTCTATAGTCTGATTTTTGGAACAGTTAGATCTTCACATTCATAGTTACATGCATGTTCTATTGACTCTTGAATAGCATAGGTTTAAACTACACAAGTGCACTTACATGGATTTTTTTTTAGTGTAGATGTACTGCAGTGCTGTATGCTCTGCAGTTGGTTGAATACATGGATGCGAAACCGTGAGATACTGAGGGCTAACTGTAGGGTTATACTTGGATTTTCAACTACAGGTGGCTCTGTGTCTTCATCCCTTTTGTGCAAAGGTCAACTGTATGTGGTTGAGAATGTAAAGTTTATATCTAATAAATAGAGAATTGATTATCACTCATAAGAACTGAACTTCTTATTTTAAAGTAATGATGTTTTGAAGTGAACAGTACCCTATATCTAGTAGGATCTGATAGAGTGAAACAAATTGAATATTTTATCAAAAATCTTTATAACAGCACTGTCAGGAGAAATATATTGCAAGCCACATAAGTCATTCTACATTTGCTTTTGTGTGTGTGTGTTAGTCACTCAAGTCATGTCTGACTCTTTGTGACCCCATGGAATGTACCCCACAGGCTCCTCTGTCCAAGGGATTCTCCGGGCAAAGATATGGGTAGATAGCTATTGCCTTCTCCAGGGGATCTTCCGGACCCAGGGATTAACCTGGGTCTCTTGCATTGCAGGCAGATTCTTTACCATCAGCCATCGGTAGGCACATTATACAAGTAGAAAGAGACAGGTGAAGTTAATTTTAATAATACCTTCCTTAACTCATTGTTTCTAAAATATCACTTCAATATATAACCAGTATAAAAATACGAATCAGTTAATTTATGTTCTTTTGTTTCATACCAAGTCTTTGAAACCCACTGTGCATCTGATTCTACTGACATTTTGTACTAGCCTCAAGTTCACTGTGTCTAGTGGCTACCGTATTGGACAACTCAGTTCCAAGTACTATTCTCCCACCGTTGTTTTGGTATTCACCTATTTCCTGGAAATCTCACTGGTCTGCCTCAGGAAGATGTTTTTCAGCAACCCTGGCTCTGCATGGCTTTCATGCTGTGCTGGTCTCTTGGCTATTATCTGATTAACCCTTTTCCTAATTTTGAGTCCTTCATGACTTCTCCATGACTTTTTCCCCTGTGCTTAAAATTATTTTTGAATTAAAATCATAAAGCATAAAAGTTTGTAGAGATGAAACTTTGTAAAATATTTATTTTAATTGGAAGGTAATTATTTTACAGTATTGTGGTGTTTTTTGCCATACATCAATATGAATCGGCCATAGGCATACACTTCTTATTTCTCACTCTTATCTCTATTCTCCATAGAGGTAACTACTTACAGTGATTTAGTTCTGTCTTTCCAAACATTTTTCTGTGCATTTACAAATTTGTGCTCATATTTATATAAACACATTTAGACATTTTGTTTTTAGTAGGTTAGAGTTTTATAAAAGGAATGGCTGGGTCAAAAACTGTGCTGAATCTCCAAATTACTCGATTGTATTATATTGGTTTGCCTTCCTCCATCTAGGTTTCAGAGACCTAGTTTTCAACCATGTCTGCCAGCAGTGGATAGTGGCCATCTTAAAAATTTTTTTTACAAAGTTTGGTGAAGAGTGGTATCTCTTCCTAAAACTTTTTATTTTAAAATAATTTCACTCTTACAAAAAATGTTTCAAAGATAGTAAAAGAAATTCCTGTATGTCCTTCCCTGAAATTCCTCAAATGTTAACGTATTAGTCTCCTTGCTATGTCATTCATTTCTTCCCTACATTGTTTTTCAGAAACATTTGAGAAAAAGTTGCAGGCATGATTCTCTCTCACCTTTATAATATCCGTGTGTATTTCATACATATTTCATGAAAACAGGCACAACTTAAGAGTCTAGTTGTTCAAATCAAGATTTAATACCATTGTCTAGTTTCAAACTTTTTAGAAATTTTACCAGTTTTCCTGTTAGTGTATTTGCTCAGGTCCACAGTCTGGTACAGGATCAGATGGTATGTTTAGGTTGGTCTCAGAACACTCTCATCTGGATCTGTCCTTCGATTCATCCGTTCTCTTTCCTGATGTTTGCATTGTTGGAGAGTACAGGCTGGTTGTGGGGAATGTCCCTCACTGTGGAGTTTGAGTGCTGTTTCTCCTGATGAGATCCATTTTTACATACTTTTGTCGCCTTCTCAGTGCATCTGCAGTAGCTGTGTGGCCGTGGTTTGTCCCAGTGTTCATGATAACTTTGGCCAGTATGTTAAGGTGCTGTCATGCCTGCCAGGAGTTTTACTATAAAGTTACTATTTTTTTCCTTCATGATTCCTACCTATGTTTTGGGGAGATACCTTGAGACACATGTAACATTGTTTCTTAGCCTATTTCTACATGTTCATTGTAACATCCACCAGTGATTCTTGGGGCTTCCCTGGTAACTCTGGTAAAGAACCTACCTGCCAGTGCAGGCGATGCGGGTTCAGTTTCTGGGTTGGGAAGATCTCCTGGACTAGGAAATGGCAACCCACTCTGGTATTCTTGTCTGGTAAATCCCTGCCAGCTCCTCAGTCCATGGGGTGGCAAAAGAGTTGAACACAGCTTAGTGACTAAACAGCAGTAGACATAGTGCTAAACATCAGTAACAACAGTGGTTCTTAACTCAAACAGTTACTACTGTATTGGTTGCCAAAAGGTGACAGAATCTATCATTCCTTCTTGTTTGGAATCCTACTTTAAGGAAGAAATTTCCGAAGCCCTGCTCCCATTCATTCATTCATTGATTTATATCTGAATGGACTTATGGATTTTTATTGTATTCTCTGGATTATAATTTGTTAGTCTATATATTTTCTTTTTCAAATTGTACCAAATGCTGGCCACTGGCAGCCCTTCAAGCTGGTTTCTTGATACATCTCTTATTATTTGTTGAGCATTTACAGAATTTTCTTGCCTGACAAAATGTTCCAGGCTTATCTTGTATTTTTTTTCGGCCCCACTCTGGAATCATCCATTTCTCCAGGTCCTCGCTCTTTTTTTGGAAAATGATATTCAGAAATTAAGATCTGAATGCTAGGCTATCCTGTTTTCTAATCACTTGTGCATTTTGCATTTTATGTGACCACTGCCATTTCTTTTATGTGTATTTTCTTTGATGAATCTTGTCTGTTTACATGTGAAACATTATTCTAAGAAATTACCAGCGGAGCTACTTCCTTAGCTTAACTGTGACTGATCGTCAGTTGTTAGGAGATCCCTACCTCAAGTCAGCTGTGGAATAGTAACGATTGTGAGGCACTGATGAGAATGATCATTTTCACTTGTGGCTTTTTTCTTTTTACTGCCTTCATCCAGCACCTCTGCCCGGTCCACATTCGGTACCCTCCCCTAGGCCCCTGGTAACCACAAATCTAATCTCTTTTTCTGTGAGTTTGTTTTGAAGCATGACTGACCTATAACACTATGTTAGTTCCTGGTGCACAGCGTAGTGATTGACCCTTCTGTACGTTACAAAGTGATCACCACACCTGTGACTTTTCAAAATGCCAGGCAGAGCCGAGGGCACAGGGTTGGTTCAGTTTCCTATAGGCCTTGGCAGTGAGTGATGGGGACATATTCAGATCTAGAATCCTCTTTTCCAACTTGTTGGCACAAGTTCATCCTGTCTTATTCTTTATATTCTCAGCATTCTCGTGTATGTGATCATTTTCCTCTTTCTCGGCCTGTTGGCATAGACCTCATTCGCTCAAATAGATATATCTGGTATAAATGGGACCTAAATTGATTTAGGTAGAATCTTAAATTCTGCCCTTTCTCTTGTATCTAATTTCATTCTTAGAGTTTTCCAGGTACTCTGTTTCTAAAGTTGTCAGAATTGGTTTGGGAGTGAAGAGAAAAAAAATCTCTCCTTTCAATGTTAATAAATGTTCTTGTTTCTCACAGGAGGAGAAGCGAAAGGAAAATAAAGAGAAATGTCAATGACAACCATTTGGGAATTGACTGTTCAATTTTAATTAAACAGTTCCTTAAGATGTGATAACTGCCTCAAGCAGAGTTTTTTTAGATAAAAAATAACTTTATTTTTATGAACACAGTATATACATTGTAGAAAATTAGGAAACACGGATATATAAAATTTACAGAATGAACACCATATTCTCATCACCCAAAGATTTTTTGCTGATTACATCAACTCCATGGATGCTAGCCCGCTAGGCTCTTCTGCCCATGGAATTTTCCAGGCTGAAATACTGGAGTGAGTTGCCATTTCCTACTTCAGGGGATCTTCCCGATCCAGGGATCAAACCTGCATCTATTGTGTCTCCTCTTTAGCAAGAGGATCCTTTACCACTAGAGCCACCTTGGAAGCTCTGTGTATATCTACACAGAGATATATGTATATACACAGCTCTGTGTATATCTATATATATCTCTGTGTATATCCTTATCTACATTCATACATTCATACACACACATATAAGGCAGTGAATCACTGTTGAGCCTTGTACACCAAGCTCCTCTTCGCTTTAAATTCTGACAGTGTATATGTAAGAATATATTATTTCTCTCTTGTGGTGTTTGGTTTGAGCATTTTCTAAATCATTCCATGTATTTACTTAAATCAGCCCTTATTTTTTTTTTCCAGGGTGATTGCATCTATTTCAGAATGTGTTATAAACAATTCTCAAATGAAAAATTTGTGTTCATAATATAAATGAATTTTGGTTAAAATCTCTAGTTATGAAGATAACTTTTATTCTGTATGTTGTATTCCTATTAACCTATAAATATACTCTTCATAGCTTCTAGATAAAGATTTCTTTTTCAAAATGAAATCTCATGTTTTTTGATTCGTTTTATCATTATATCAATACATTCAATAGTGGTTATTTAACTTTATTCGAGGTAATTGATGTAGTGGCTCTTAGTGGAATCTTTGGGAAGTGAACTGCCTCACATTTAATAGGTTAATGATTGAGGGTATTTGGAAATACCTGCCAGTATTTATTAGGCAGTTACCATCATCAAATATGTTGATTATGTTTTATATCTGCCCTTTGTTTATGTACTGTTTTCTCATATATACTGCTTTAGAAATTATAAGCATATATGTTAAAAACTGCTACAGTGATAAATTAGTAGTATTTATAGAATAAAAAAAGTTTCTCAGAAGAATATTTGTAGAATTGAGAATAAGCTTATTTGGTGAGTGTTGTAAGAAGAATGAAGAAGAAAATAAGAAGAAAAAAGAATTTCTTTCTTTTACCAGAAAGAAAACCTAACGAAGTTACTTATAAAAGACCCATTAAAATTTTTCGTTTTTACCTATCCCCTTACATTAGATAAAAAGATTTGGCTGTTGGGACAGTTGTAGCAATTTGACTGTGTTCTGTGGATTTGATTAACATTGTATCAGCATTCATTTCCTCCTTAGGATGGTTGTACTGTAGTTATGTAAGGGAATGTCCTTGTTTTTGGGAAACTGACAATGTAGTATTAGCAGTGATGAGTATTATGTCAATAACTGACTCTCAAATGACTTTGGGAAAAAAGTGTGTAGTTGCATGCATGTGTATGTTGATTTGTGTGTTTAGAGATAGTGTGAGACAAATGTAAAATGCTGACAGTTGGGGAGTGTGGGAGAAAGATATTTGGGAGTTCTTCATATTATTCTTGAAATTGAGTTTGAGGTTATTTCAAGATTAAAAATTAAGATTTGAAAGTTAGGGAAATGTTTTAACATATTTGATAAAAGGTGCTGTATTTGAAGATATTTAGAACTACAAGCACTTTATAGATCCACTCTCATTGCCAGTATTTTATAAATGGGGCCTCAAGAGTGTGGCAGATTAAATATTTTAATACTGATTTACTGAGTACCAGTAACCATGATTACAGTTTTTCTTAAAGGGTCATAAGTAAGCCATAGTTCTTAGTAACGTTGGCATTTTTATATTTGATAGGTCAGTCAGCAAATCTCATATCTGAATACGTGTGTTAGAGCCTTACTGGTACTCAGAAAAAGAGGAAAACTTGAAGGAGTAGCCTTTGAAATGCATTATATGTTCTAATTAAAAATGGCTGGTTTGTTTTTTAAAAATGGCAAGATTGTGGAACCCTGCACCTTAAATTCCATTTAAGATCCCTATGGAATAATGAAGCAGTTCCAGCTGGTGGTGCCTGTCAGTGCTGTTTGAAGAATTTCAGTGGCATAATTGTGAATAACTGAAAAATATTATTTCTTGGTCCTTGTTTGTATAAGGATCATTGTAACAATATGTCACGTGTGATTGAGCAGCGTAGTGTATAATATATGTGAGGAGGAACATAAAGAACCTGTAGACTTGTTTTTAAACAACAAAAAAACGATAACAAAGGGAAACAAGGAAGACTTGGGAAGTGTTAGGTATGTCTTACCTCCACGGTGGTGATATTTTCACAGGTGTTCATGTATGTCCAAACATCAAATTGTACATGTTGAATATGTGAAGTTCTTTATAAATATCAGTTATACCTCAATAAATCTAAAAAAACACAAGCAAACTACAAAAGCATAATCTTGTTAGTTAAGAAACTTCAAGTTCAGTGAGAAATAAGTTTTATTCCCCACTAAATAAGAAAAAAGTAATGAAACCAGTTTTTCTAACAGGAAAAAGAGTTTACTAGTTTTTCTAACAGCAAAGAATTTGCTAGGATTCCTTTTATGGTGTCTGTTTTAGAAAATTACTGCATTTGGGATCTGCAGTAGAAGGCTTTATTTTGCAGAATAAAGGTGTTTTTTACTTACTTCATAATTTTAATTTATATACTGTTTATTAGTAAATGAAATTCTAAAAGAATAATGATCTGATGCAGATTTTAAGTTTGTATTTTGTGTATTTACCAACACTAGTAATTGAATCACTGCTAATTTCACTCTGGTTTCATTGGAATTAATTTTTAAAATTATGAAGAGAGGCTTAGCAAAAATTATTCATAAATAAATAAAATAGCAATAAACATGTTTAACCACTTCATGCCAATAATGAGAATTTGCTTTGTTTTTAAAAGTTAATTCGTAATGGTGTTGGTGTTCTGTTCTTTACTCCATCTCAGTGCTTTAGCTTGTAACTTTTTTTTTTAATTCAGTTCAGTTGCTCATTTGTGTCTGACTCTTAGCGAACCCATGGACTGTAGCACGCCAGGCTTCCCTGTCCATCACCAACTCCCAGAGTTTACGCAAACTCATGTCCATTGAGTTGGTGATGCCATCCAACCATCTCCATCTTCTGTCGTCCCCTTCTCCTCCTGCTTTCAGTCTTTCCCAGCATCAGGGTCTTTTCAAATGAGTCAGTTCTTCACATCAGGTTGCCAAAGTATTGGAGTTTCAGCTTCAACATCAGTCTTTCCAAATAAATATTCAAGACTGATCTCCTTTAGGATGAACTGGTTGGATCTCCTTGCAGTTCAAGGGACTCTCAAGAGTCTTCTCCAAAGGAGTCTTCTTCACAAGCATCAATTCTTCGGCACTCAGCTCTCTTTATAGTCCAACTCTCTACTACTGGAAAAACCATAGCTTTGACTAGACGGACCTTTGTTAGCAAAGTAATGTCTCTGTTTTTAATTGGAGACACCTATTTATTGTCCTCTGTATGCTAGGTCCTGATAGTTGGGCAGCACAACTGCATAAATTATTGATCACTGCTGCGGGAATGAGGATAAAAAAAGTGTGGTTTCCACCTCCTTTCTGACATTTTTAACAGAGCATGTTGACTGTACTTGACTTTGAGGTTTTTGGTAACACGAAAATGGCAGAGGAAAGGGAATAAGCATATCAGTTTCGTTGACTCCTTCATCCTAGATCTCTTTCTAAGTGTATTGGGTTAGCTGAAAAGTTTGTTTGGTTTTTCCCATAAGGTGTTATATATAATACGAAAAACTTGAACAAACTTTTTGGCCAACCCAGTAGTTTGTGTGGAGCCCTTACCTGTGTTAGTATTCCATTTTCTATGCTGTACAATCTTGTACAAGGTATTAATCTTTCTACACGTCAGTTTCTTCATCTGTAAAATGGAGAAAATAAGAACCTTTACCTCATAGTGTTAGTTTGACGTTTTAAGTATATAAAGCATGTTTATGTATTCTCTAGGAATATCTAGCACATGGAGAGAGCCTTGTGTTTATTTTTGTCTTTGTACTTATTTACAGTTACTTTGCAGAAGAACTAGGAAAAAATTGAAGTACTGCTGATGTTCATGCAACAGAAATCTCTTACTAAAAACTTGAGAAATAGAATGCTGTTTGTGTGTAAGCAGATAGGAAGAAAATGATTTTTTAATATTGACATTTGTTTTGTTTTAATAGGTATCAACAGATGTTGCATACCAACTTGGTCTACCTTGCTACAATAGCAGATTCTAATCAGAACATGCAGTCTCTCTTACCAGCAGTAAGTACCTTTAAAGTAGTGGGAAGTGTAGATAATTTTTATAGAGTTCTATACAGAAGGACCCAGTTTTGTTGAGTGATTCTGAGATTTGTTTAGGAAATCCTTCCCTCCTCTGAAAACATGAAGATATTTGTTTACATGATCTATTAGCTTTATTATTTTGCCTTCATATTTAATTTGAATTAATTCAGTTAGAATTGATTTGCTGCCCAAGGAAGTTATATCCATCCATCTATTCATTCACCCATCCACCTACCTATTTATTCATTTATTTTGATGTGTAATCACACAAATTATTTAGGAACAAATTTATAATATTTTAAAGCAGATCCCTATCCATCATGTATGTAATTTAATATGCGTCTCTAGCAGATAAGGACTGATATCCCACATAACAAAATAGCCAAAATCTCTTAATGTCTTATAATAATCAGGATGTTTTCAGTTTTCCCCAGTTATCTAAAAGAAATTTGAATGTTTTGCCAATTGTTTGCCACAGAATCCAAGCAAGGCCCACTCTCTGCTTTGGCTGATCTGTGTCTTAGGTCTTTTTTAACCTGTATCAGTTTTTTTCATTCTCCATTTACTTACTGAAGAAAGAGGGTCACTTATTTTGTAGAATTTCTCACATTCTGGATTTGGCTGTTTGTAGCCTCATGATCCTTAAACATGTTCCTCCATCTCATTTCTGTTTCCTCTAGACTGGTAATTTATAGATGGAGAGGCTCGACCATAATTAGATTTAGTTTTATGTTGAAGATTTCATTGACTGCGCCATGTGAGTGTTGCCTATTGTTTTTTGTTAGGAGGAACATATTTTGTTGTCCAATTTTTAGTGATGTTAATGTTGATCAGTGCTCACAATTGATACCAGTTTCATCAGTCCATTATAAAGTTCTTCATCTACCTTTCAGTTAATGGGTTTATCAGTCATTGGTGCTTGTTGGTTGGGTCCATTGTTTCTTAAGATCTAAGAATGATAAATTTTTCACTTTACAGTTCCTCCCTCATTTTACTTCTTTTAAAGAGGAGAATTTCAGCAAATATTTGGTTATCTTAAAATAGAGAGTTCCTATAGGAAAGTCATGATAAAAATCTTGATTTTATTCTTTATCAATTTTTTAATCAGTTTATCAATTTTCAGAATAACAAGTTGGTCTGTGGCAACTTGCAAAGGATGACCAAGGATTTTGTCTTTGTTTTTATTATTATCTGAACTTACACATTTCTATATTTTTAATGTGTTTAAATCCATTGAGACACTGTGATGCTCAAGTTTTCTCACCTTTGGTCAGTGGGAATCCCTTTCTTTGGCTTCTGTGCCCTGCTGACATGATTCCAGTATTCTTGTAGAGCTTCTTTACTTTAGAATTTATGAGAGAGATCAGACTGACTGTATTTCTGCCCCAGAACTATTCTGCCCCAGCTGTTTTTTCAGCTAGCCTTTTTTTCTGTGGGAATTGATATTTAGAGACCACAATTTGGATGTTTGGGGCATTTGTTATTACTGCGTTTGGTTGTTGTTCAGTCGCTAAGTTGTGCCTGTCTCTTTGTGACCCCATGGATTGCAGCCCACCAGGCTTCCTTGTCCTTCACTATCTCGGAGTTTGCTCAAACTCATGTCCATTGAATCGGTGATGCCATCCAACCATCTCATCCTCTCTCGCTCCCTTCTCCTCCTGCCCTCAGTCTTTCCCAGCATCAGGGTCTTTTCCAATGGGTTGTCTCTTCACATCAGGTGGCCAAAATATTGGAGCTTCAGCATCAGTCCTTCCAGTGAATGTTTGGAGCATTTTCAGTGGACAGAGGTAGTAAACATGTTTTTTTTTAAAGAAAATATTGGTGGTATTTTTCACCTCAGGAAAGATTTTTTTTTTAACTGAGCTTTAATTTTGTATATTAGTGTCTCTTCTTTTTCTAAAAAGCTTGATATCTTAACAATTTTATAGTCTTGTTTACTTTGTACTGCTACATATGTAACATAATTTCAATATAGCAACATTGCCACTAACAATAATAGGCTTGTCCTTAAGATAATTCTCACTAAAGATATATAATGAATAAATTTTGTTTTGAATCTGAAATAATGTGATTTTTTTAACCATGATCTTTTTTTTTTTTTTTAAACCATAATCTTGATTACCAGCTAGTATGAGAAATAGGTTTGATTTCATTTGTTTCCAGGTAGATAATTCTCTCTCAGCATTATCTATTGGGAAAACAAAGCAAAATATCTGTTCTCTACTTCTGTCATGACACCTGTTATCATATATCAAGTGCCCATGTACCTGGGGGTCTGTGTCTTACCTCTTCTGTTCCACTGGCTGGTTTTGATGATTTCCTCCGTCCTGTCACACTTGTCATAGTCAAGACTTGTAATAAGTCTTGATGTATACTAGAGAAGTTCTTTACTTCTTCCTTAGGTTCCTTTTTTTTTTTTTCAAGACTATCTTGGGTACTGGTCCTTTGCATTTCCTTATACACTTAAACTTATCAGTGTGTTCACTATAATCCCATTGTGATTTTCACTGAGATGACTTTGACTGTCAATCAGTTTAGGGAGAATTGATGTCTCTGCAATACTGAGTCTTTCAAATCATGATCATTCCATATATTTTGATTTATTTAGTCCTTTCCTCCCTGTCAGTGAAGTTTTGTGATTTTTCCTGGAGGGGATTTGTACACCTCTCTTTGGATCTATTGCTAAGTACGTTGTCTTTTTAAGGCAGTTTTTAAATGAAATCTTTGTTTTTTTTAAGCTTTATTTTGTAACCGTGATTGCTGTTTACATAGAAACACAATTGGTTTTGAATCCCATAGTCTTGTTCAGTTTTTATCTCTAAAACTTTTTCTGTGGATACTTTCATTTTCTCTATTCACCAGTGTATCATTTGTGAATGAGTTTTGTTCTTTTCTTGCCAGTCTTTACACCTTTTATTTATTTCTTTTGCCTTAACTTCTCTGGCTAGGGCCTCCAGTACATTCCTGAGTAGAAGTGGTGACAGAGGACATCTTAATCTTGTTCCTGATCACAGAGGAAAAGCTTTCACTGTTTAACCATTCCCTATGATGTTCCCTCTAGTTTTTTGGTAGATACCTTTAATCAGGTTAAGGAAGTTCCCTTTGTTTCTTTTGTGCCAAGAGTTTATATATTGAATGGATGTTAAGTTTTATTAAATACTTTTATTGCATCTAATGAGATGATCACAGTTTTCTCTTTAATCTGTTATTGTGGTGAATTACATTGATTTACTTCTTAATGTTCAGTCTTGAATTTTTTTAGTAATTAACCTACTTTTTCATGACCCACTTGGTCATGATCTTTTTTAAAAAATTGCTGTATTCAGTTTGTTGAATTTTTGATCAAGATTTTTTTTTTTTTAACATCAAACAAAATCTAGCTTTATTTACCAACTAAAATATTCATTAAAAACACATAATACTTCAACATTTCAATAGAAATTGCTGTTCTGTTATACATTATCAAGTCTGTTTTCTAAATAATTTGAAGATTTCAATTATAAGATAAATGAAGACTAAAAATAAAAACAATGCAAACTGAAGTGTTTTAGAGACCTATATATAAGTAATTTCCAAACACATAATTGTTATATGATTATAGTTTGGAATAAAATTTCCCTGAGCACTCTTTCTGCCTGGTTAGAAAAACTAATTTCTCCTGAATAATCCAATTTTTCATCCATCAAGTGTATCTGGGAATCTTTCCTTCCAGACATCTCTAAAGTAATAACTGATTATAACCATTTTAAGGGGCTATTTGAATGGCTATAGATTTAGCCATTGATCAAGATTTTTATGTGTGTTCATGAGTGTAATTGCCTTTTATCTTTCCTTTCTTATAATACCTTTGTCTCTTTTTTGTTTTGAGGTTATGCTGGCTTTATAAAATGAGCTGCAGAATTTTCCCACTTTTTCTTATCTGGAAGAATTTGCATAATATTGCTATTTCCTAGATGATTCGTATAATTTAGAAAAGCCATCTGGATCTGGAGTTTTCTTTGTGAGGAGACTTTTATTTACCTGCTCAATTTTTTTATGGTTATAGGACAGTTTATGCATTTCTATATTTTATGAGATACCTATTTCAGTAAATTGTGCTTTTTAGCATTTTATCTAAAATTTCAAATTTATTGATAATAAAGTTTGTAGAATAATCCTAACATCTGTTAGGGTTTTATAGAATTTTCCTAATGTCTATAGGATCTGTAGTGATGGTTTCTTTTTTTATCCTCATTGTAGTTTATTTGTGCCTTCTCGTTAAAAATCTTTTTTGATCACAGTTGCCAAGTATTTTTTGTATTTATTCTCTTAATCTTTTTAAAGAATCAGCATTTGTCTTTGATCTTTCTTTGTTGCATCATTTGTCAAAACTCTGTCCTCAGAACTGCATCATATGTAAACATGACTGAACACTGAGGAGTTTCATATGTTTTATATATATGTATTTTATTTTACTTATTATACTACTATTCATTTAAAATGAGCAACACTAAACTCATTGCATGTTAATATAAGATTCTATAAAGAAAAAACAACTCTATCTTTTAGATCTAATTTAGTGAGGTAAATGATACTGTAAATTTCTTTTGAATGTCAGGCTTAATAGAAAACATCTGTATTTTCACATTTACTTCTGAATTTGATCTAGCATAATATGTTTTGGTTTAAGTAGAAGAAAACCCAGTTCCACACAAATAGGAAGTTTGTAAAGGGAAGAATATTTTTAGCCTTTTCAGAATGTTGCGAATAATCTGATAGTATAGCACATCTTAGCAAGTGTTTTTTTTTTTAAAGGTTAGTTGCAGTATGGAATCTGAAATTTTATCAGTACATTTATCTTATTCCGGTACCTTAAAGTTCATTGGTCTGTCTTGCATTTTTGGATGGATCTTTTACTCATGCATGATTTCAGAACATCATGATTTGGTCATCTGGTAAATAATAAATTCACTTAGTTCTGCACATATTTTAAGTACTGA